ATGATTCTAGTCCCTTTTAGTTGCTCACATAAACTTCCTTTGTGTCTTACATTAGTGATGATGGCTGTGAAATAATTGGCCAGCTGCTGTAAAAGCCCTTGCAATTTTCCCACTGCCTTTCCAGGAAGGAATTCTGTCATCTTTACATGGCCCATTCTGTGACTCCACACGCACATCAATGGAGATGTCTCTCTCCGTAAGTGGCCTCGAGAGCTACTCACCACGTGGGCAGTCAGGGCTGGGCTAAAAAGGCCATGAAATAGTTTTACTTTGAGGTCACAAAGCAACGCAAGCAATTCTACAATGATCAATGGAAGGCATTAGCATCAAAATCCAATCCTAGCGTGGGAGCCCAGCTCTCCCAAACTTCAACTGCCTTCTCAATTAAGCCAATAAACTAAACACTTCATCATGCCGTTGGAGGCAGCCATGTTACACACTTTCCCTCTTTACTTTTTCCTTCTAAACAACATTTAGCTCAACGGGGACAGGTTAATGACAGCCATATTGCTCCCCATTGTGGAGAGAAAGCGACGGCTGCAAGACTCAATGCCAATTAATGGGCAGCGAACGAACTGAGTGGTGCCCCAGGAGGGTCATTCAGGAACAAGAACCTCTGGAATTAACGGGGGCAGCTTTAAACTTCATGGATAAGTTGTTTATGGATAAAATTAAAAACGCGCCTCAGCCCCAGCTTTGAATCTTTTGTGTGCGGACATGAGCGGTTATGAATTATTCTGGTGTCTCATTTTCTAAATGTCGAAAGACATTTTAACCAATAAAAAAAAGTGCCTGGATTGTGGACTGGGAGAGGGTTCAGTTTCTATGGTAACACGTACAATCTAATAAGCATGCACCTTTAACTACGACAATATTTTACGGCAAACAGACTAATTCTGTTTACTCCTATATGACCTGTGATAACTATAAGTTTACCCATTTGTGCTTGTTATCCCCAGTGCTGAATACAGACAAACGGCGATATTTAAAAACGGCACATGAAGAAGCAGGTGCTTTGCACTAGAGATATAGGAGGAGCCTTGATAAGGAGCTCAGGATATAAAGGGAACCATTGTACATGCTATCGCAGCTCGAGTGTCTAGTTAACCATATTTACAGACACCATGGCTTACTGCAGTCAGAGACATTACCACAATTCATTAAGTATTTACTGTTGTAGCATCTAAAAATATGATTTTATTTAACTTGCTATTTTATCACCAAATTAACACAAAGAGGTGCTTTCGTCTCGTTACAGCGAGGCGCTGCCCTGATCCTCTCATAGTTACTGTGTACAACCTGCTGTCAATGGATTCCATGATGTGGAGGCGCTGGTGTGGGACTCGGGAGGACAAGGTCAGAAATCATACGACACCAGGTTATAGTCTGACAGGTTTATGTGAAAACACAGGCTTTCGGAGCGTAGCCCGTTTGTCAGGTGCAGCTGGTGTTGTGTGACTTCTGAGTTTGTGTAATAGCTGGGGAAGTGAGGAAGCACACACACACACACACACACA